TGTGTTCCCCCCCCTCCACGAGTGCAGTGTCACCCCTAATTGCCTCCTAATGACTTGGGGGCTTACTTAAAGGAAAGCTGTGCAGGGTGGCCCCACTGACCATTTGTCACTGCGCCTGATCCCGTCACTGGCGGCGGGTCCTCATCCTGCCCTGGGAGAAGGGCAGGGGGGCCCAGAAGGGCCCCCCAGGCGGGGGCTGGGGGGCAGCAGGGGGGTGACGCTGACCCTGCCATCCCCGCAGCCGTCCGCAACGACCGGAACAAGAAGAAGAAGGACGTGCCCAAGCCGGAGTGTTCGGAGAGCTACATCATCACGCCCGAGGTGGAGGAGCTCATCGAGAAGGTGCGCAAAGCCCACCAGGAGACCTTCCCCGCCCTCTGCCAGCTTGGCAAATACACTACGGTGAGTGTTGGGGGGGGTCCGGGGGGGCTGGGGAGCATGGCAGCCTCCCCCCGTGCCCTCACCCCCAGCCTCCCGCTGCAGAACAACAGCTCAGAGCAGCGGGTCTCCCTGGACATCGACCTGTGGGACAAGTTCAGCGAGTTGTCCACCAAGTGCATCATCAAGACGGTGGAGTTTGCCAAGCAGCTCCCCGGCTTCACCACGCTCACCATCGCTGACCAGATCACCCTCCTCAAAGCCGCCTGCCTCGACATCCTGGTGAGAGCGGGGACTGGGACGGGGACGGGGACCGGGACGGGGCTGGGGAGGGGACACCAGGCTGAGCTCTCCGCCCTCGCCCCCCCGCCCCAGATCCTGCGGATCTGCACGCGCTACACGCCGGAGCAGGACACCATGACCTTCTCAGACGGGCTGACGCTGAACCGCACGCAGATGCACAACGCTGGCTTCGGGCCCCTCACCGACCTGGTCTTCGCCTTCGCCAACCAGCTGCTGCCGCTGGAGATGGACGACGCCGAGACAGGGCTGCTCAGTGCCATCTGCCTCATCTGCGGAGGTGGGTGCTGGGGGGGGGGGGTGCAGGCAACCTACCCAGCTCCCCGGCGGACCCTCAGTGCCTGCCCGGCTGTCCTCCCCAAATGACTGACCAAGAAGACCCCAAATGGTGCCCTTTGCCGCGGCACAGCCGTCCTGGTGACCCCCTCGGGGCCCCGTACAGGGAGCTGGGCCGTATCCATGCCCACGGTGGGCAAGGGGGAATGACAGGACGTGTGCTGACCTCCCGTAACCACTGTTGTCCCTCCCCCCAGACCGCCAGGATCTGGAGCAGCCCGACAAAGTGGACAAGCTGCAGGAGCCGCTGCTGGAGGCGCTGAAGATCTACGTGAGGAAGAGGAGGCCCAACAAGCCCCACATGTTCCCCAAGATGCTCATGAAGATCACAGATCTCCGCAGCATCAGCGCCAAGGGTGAGCGCTGGGGAGGGGGCGGCCGCCCTCCTGCGGCTCCATGTGCCGGGGGAGCATCCCCTGGGCTCAGCATCCTGGGGGGGGTGGGGGGGGGGGGGGCGTCCAGGTCGCTCATCCTTCCCCAGGGCACAGCATCCTCTGGAGGGGAGGAGGGAGGGAATACCCACAGCACTGCATCCTCAAGGGACGCTGGGGACATGGCCATGTCCCTTGTCCTCGGCACCCAGGGAGGAGCAGAGCCGGGGGGTGCAGGGCCCATGTCCCTTCCTCGGCACCCAGGGAGGAGCAGAGCCGGGGGTTGCTGGTTTGGGGGTGCCGATTTGGGGGTGCCAGCAGTGCCCTGCCCCGCTGACCGCGACCCTTCCTGCAGGCGCCGAGCGGGTGATCACGCTGAAGATGGAGATCCCGGGGTCGATGCCGCCCCTCATCCAGGAGATGCTGGAGAACTCGGAGGGCATGGACACGCTGGGGGGGCAGCCGGGCGGCCC